TTATAAAATAGATGTTGGTCTGACTGTCCTCTTTCCTACTATAAATAACATTTCTCCAATATGTGAAAAAAATTATTTACAGCAACAATAAAAACATAATAATACAACTTATGTGTTTAGTGAACAGAAAGAAAAAAATGAAACATTTTATAAAACTATTCTAATAAACTTTTCAAAAATTTTTCACACAGAAATATACACAATTTTTATGCAAAACGACCTGGACAACAAGTGTCATTTAATCGGAATTTAAGATTGTGTATGGTTAATGGGGTTATTTACTAGATGAAATTCTGTATTCCCCGTTGAAATGGAGGAAAACAGAATTTCATGAAGCACTGTGAAATTGAGAGATCCAGACTGGACAATACAAAAATAGTTTAGAAAAAATTTTCTCACTGTGTTGAGAAAAAAATTTTTTTTTTTTCTAGTTTCCTCGCCAAACATCCCCACACGCGATTCGGATCTCTCAAAAATATAGGGATTACTTCTTCCGTTGAAGAAAGCAAAAAAAAAAAATTTCTTTTGGACACTTATTCATGGTTTAATTTTGACATTTTCAGGTTGTGATTTTTCCTAAGCTTTGATACATGTACTATTTCAAAATTTTGTTTTCTTACATTTTTATTTTATTTTGTAGTCAGTTTCTTGGTCATTCTTTCTTTTTCCTATTTTTTTCTTTTCTTTTTGTTACCCTTCACCTTATTTTTTTTTCTTCAATGTTTACTTTTACTGAAACATCTTTAACTTTTTCGATGCTTACTTTTACTGAAACATCTTTAACTTTTATTTTTTCGACGTTTACTTTTTCTGAAACATCAAACCTNTACCCTTCACCTTATTTTTTTTTTCTTCAATGTTTACTTTTACTGAAACATCTTAACTTTTTCGATGCTTACTTTTACTGAAGCATCTTCAACTTTTATTTTTTCGACGTTTACTTTTTCTGAAACATCAAACCTTTTATTTTTTCGATGTTTACTTTTACTGAAACATCAAACCTTTTATTTTTTCAACAATTTTTAACCTTAACTTTTTGAGAAGTTTGCTGTCTAATGTGCAAAGATAAGTTGTCATTGTTTGAATTAGCAGAGGTGATCAATCTCTTACCAAATTAAGTAACAACTGGCTCGGCACAATCAATAAACAAACAAAAATCTTTGCAAGTTTACAACCCTACTAAAGCATATGGTAAATCAGTGTCTAGTTTATAAACTTAACTGAGTTAAAAATTTCGCCTATCGTAATAAAGGAATCTCACAAATTTTGTTAAGTGTTAACTGTTCTTTTGTTTGGGTAACATTTAAGTTTTCACATTTTTTAATAGGAATATTTAGTTTTGACCAAGTCCTAAAAAGTAAGAATTTTACAAATTTCTTTTTTTTTTTTTTTATTTTGAGTATTCAGTTACTAATACATTTCAATTTGTGTTTTATCATTTTCCTATCTTTTTGTTGGAATTAACTCTCAGCAATAAGAAGCTTTGTTTATTTATGGAAATCTCTGAGCTAGAACTATTTAATAACGTTGGACTCAAGCATTAATGTCTAGTTTCACATTTTAATTCAAATTCTTAAAACAAATATTTTATTCATTTTCTAAACTATTTGTATTAGTT